GTTCTCCATCGTCTTCTGGATGTACTTTTGCTCTTTCCACACTCTCAAACCTGGGCATGCAGTAGGAACCCACCAAGGCATAGCGATATTTGCCATCTGCATCAATTCCTTGCTTTCTGAATGGTCCCGCTACATCCACGCTTAGGACATAGGCCGAGGGGGTCAAGACCTTCCGATGAGGTCTGCCCGTGCCTGCGTTCATGACGCAGGTTCTGCATCTTTTGTTGAACGGTACGTGGCCGTCCCTGACGTGCTTCGCCCATTGCTTGAGCTCCTTCTCACTCATATCCTCGAGGCGTCCATCCATTTTGCAGAGTAGGTGAGCTTGCCGTACTTGATCAGGCCATCTTCTCCATTCATCAACTCCTTCGCTGATTCCTTTGAGCAGCTGGATATTCCATGCTGTCGGGGCCTTCTCCTTGGTAGTCCTAGACTCCTTGAGGTAGTTCATAAAGTTCATGTTCGTAACCCCTTGGAACGTTTGATCCTGACCAGCATCCAAACATACTCTGGTGAGGTGGTACTCATCGCGGAAGTCACTCCACTCCGGGGTTTTCCACCAAACCATCTCACCCGGATACTCCATGAAGAGGAAGGGCTTCTTGACGTTATTGACCACCGACCCTCGCTCAGCAACCATCCACAAGTACATCAACTTCTGCCTCAGTTCATCTCCATTTTGTCGAGGGGGGCTTCCAAGTACTCCTTCCAGCTGTCCACGGCAGGCTGCCCACAAAAGTGCTCTCATCACATTGCTCCATCCCTTCATGTTATAGGCCTTGGAGCGCTGAATGTCAATCTCCAGAACCATGACATCTTCATTCTCAAGCTTCCTGAGCTCTTCTGCGGCTGCCTGGTTCTTACCATCATACAGGTGGACAATCCAACGCGACCCATGCAACCGCCTTCGGGTTCTTCTGTTGACCGGGAGGGACTTCAAATAGCTCAGCCCAGACTCGTCACTCAAGTCCAAATCTGAAGGACCCACAAACCCAAACTTCTCAGAGCTGGTCTCCAAGGCGAGGGGGAAGCTCGGGTCCATCATAGCCATCAAAGCACTCGTCCGCTTGCCGGTGTTCACGAAGGCATCCAAGCTGACACCCCAAGGTACCGCCATAGTAGTAGATGAAGATGTCCACAAGCTCCTCACTGTAGCTTGCTGTAGTCGTTCAAGACTTTTATCCTCAATCTCAGCGATCAAGCGTAACGCTTCCATTTCGGAAATGTATGGACAGCTTCCCTTCATCTTGATTTTGAGGTCGCCGTGGGAGGGGTGCACCACCTGGAGTCCCGATTTACGGGACCAGCTGATTGAGCAACCCAATTGTTGCACAAGTGAGCCTAATGGAACAATCGGGCTCTGCGGATTGCTGCCCTTCTCCTTGAGCAGCGTTCCGGTGGTTGTTTGCCTTAGCTCCACCATTTGGCCGTCTGCAAGTTCCACTCCAACGCTCTTCGCTTGGTCAAACTCACTGGTATCCACCGGGTTGCGAAAAGGGTGTGAGGCTCCAGAGTCCAACAAGGCCAAACCATGTTGATCCATGCCCGCAGACCTCAGTAGCAGCTCCAGATCCTCAGTAGCCTTGTTGGTGTCGTCCACCCGCATTGTCATCAACTGGATCTTGCTAAGCATGGAGCTTGCCTCCTTGAGGAGTTTCTTCATCTCTTCTCGATGTGCCGCTGCCTCGTCGTCCTTCTGTGGCACCGAAGTGGTTGTAGAAGTAATCGTCGTAGAGTTCGAAGGAGCTGAGTTCTCGGAAGAGGAAGCCTCGACTGTAGAGGCCTGCACTTTTGCCGCGGTTGGGGTAGAGGAGGTTGCGCTTGTCGTAGGATTTGAAGTTGACTGACCCTGCTGTCTGCCACTGCCCTTTCCCCCATCACCGGTGGTCGTTGGGCAGCTCTGTTGGCGATGTCCCACAGCTCCACAAGTCCAACACCTCGTCTTGCGATCAGCCTTGGAGAGAAACTCATGGGCGTAGCCGCAGTTGTTGCCACGTTTACAGCCAGCCTCACTCTGGAAAAACTTGCAAGGGTTCTTTCCTTTCTTCGGCGAAGCGGTAGGTGATCCAGAACCACCAGTCCCAGGAGTTGCCGCCGTGGTTGTACTCGCTCCCTTCAGCCTCGCTCCGTCTTGGTTGGTCTTGACGCTGGGAGTGACTTGTTGGAGCTCGGCCAAAGCATGCTGATAATACTTCAGCACCGTCTCCGAGGTAGGAGCCGAAGAGAGCCTGAGCTCGTTTCTTGCCAAAGCAAGACGAAACTTCACATCAGCAAACTTCTCCAGCACCCGGGCTATGATCTTCTCGATCCCATGAAGTTGTAAGCTTGCATCTGGGAGGGCTACAGACATCTCTTCCGCCCGGGCCAAATACCTTCTCCATCGCCGTAGCTGCGTAACAACTTCTCCTGGATCATCTGAACCCGGGGCTCCTTCGAGGTGCTTCAGGATTGCCGTGCGCTCCATTGCCCCGCCCGGCTGGTAGAGAACGTGTAGCCTGTAGAGCACTCCCGCCACGCTCTCTACTCTGTGGGTGATCGTGTCCTCCCTCACCGCCTTCGGCATCGCAGCGAGGAGGAGTGAAAGCACTCGACGTTCTAGGCGAAACCATTTGGCATCCTTGAGCTCCTCTGTCAACATTGGGGCCACACTCAGCCGCTCCAAGGCTGAGGCACCTTGATAACGCATATAGGCTTCCCTGGCACACGCCAGGCACTTGGCAAACCATGAGCTCGCATTGTCCGTCAGGGCGCCAAGCTGCTGCTCTGTAATGTACATCCAGTCATTGAACTCCACCGCCGCGTCGCCGGGCTCTGGCATTCGCTGGAGCTCCACGCTCCCCTTCACAGCCTCCGCCTCGGCTGGGTCCTTGCGGTTCATCTGGAGTTGCTGGAGCTGTCGCATCCCTTGCACCAGAAGATGCAAATGATCTACCATGGCATTGTCCTCTCCAGTCGTAGCACCCGCACCAGGCCCACCATCTCCTTCATGATGAATTCCTGTGCTGTGTCCACTAATACCCAAAAGTCCTTGTAGACGTCCTTGACCGCCTCCATCGCAATCAGGCTCCTCAGGATTGCCTCCAGGTACAGGAGATTGTGCCGGAAGTACAGTAGGAGAACTCAGCCGATCACCACGGCTTCCGTCTTCTGCCCTTTGTTGAAGAACATGTTCAAGGCCTGGAGGTGCCCTTCTAGCCTCGCTGCCGAGGGGTTCAGCTCCAGGTACAGAAGATTGTGCAGGAAGTACAGCAGGAGGCCGGTCATGCCCGTGAGCACCTTGGCGTTCAGGGATAGGATTGCCTCGGGGTTCTACGCCTCGAAGTCCCAAACCTCCATCCACCAAGGTTCGTTGTTCTCGTTCATACTCTGCTTCAGCTGACTCCCTTTGCAAGGCAAACACAACCTGCTTCAACTCCAAGTTCTCATTTTGCAACTTCTTCATCTCACTCTCCCGCTCATCCAGCGCTGCCTTCACCTGCTTGCGGACTTCTTCCATGATCACCTCCTGGCTGAGAGAAGCATTTGAAGACTCCTCTGCTTGTCGCCGAGGCCTTGGTGTAAGCAAGGAGGGGCGTGAGGTCCACGCCGACATAGCTTGCCGAACATCTTGCGGCATAAGGGGCCCTTGAGTGGCTGTCGGCGTCGCTGGCTGGGAGTGCCACACAGACTGAGGTGACGCCTCAGCTTGCAGTTGTCTTCCTCCCCGCCCTGCAGATTGAACCTGCTCCATCACCGGGGTAACGACACGCCGTTGAATCACCTCGCTCACACGTGTGAACCATGCTGGCCTCGCGTTTCCTTGGTCTCCATCATCTCCTCCAAGGGCTTCTTCAGCATAAACAGGTTCTGCAACATGTACTTCTCGTACTAGCTCTTGTCTCACAAGTGACTCGCGGGCCCTTCTCTGGACACCATCAGCCACAGGATCTTGCCGCCGAGGGGATCTTGGAAGTTCACCCACAGGTACTTCAACTTGTGGTGCAGGAGGTTGGGCAGGATTGCTTGCCGCTGCGGGTTGTTGTTGCTGTCTTTCGTTGTTCGTAGGCTGCTGCTGCATAGTGGAGTGCTGGGGCTGCTGTTGAGGCTGTGAGTTGGAGTCCTGTACCGTACCCCCTAAACCCGAAGCCTCACCCGTTCCCATCGCGACCGGTCCGGCTAGCCCAGGGTTGGAGCTCTCAGTGCTCCCTTGTCTCACATTTGACTCAGTGGCCACTACTCTTGCAGTCACTCCGTTCGGAAGGGCAGGCAACACGCGGTCCCGGCCTTCACTATTCGCAGCACCATAAGCGGGTCCTGAACTCTCACCCTCCAGTACGCTGGGCCTTCCAGCTTGCTGTCCTGAAAAGAGACGTGATTGGGCTCATAACCTGATGATCAGTTAGAGCACTGGAGGGGCTTACGAGGTTCGGTCCATGGCACGCAAGCTTCAGCTGTTTTCACCAGACTGCAACGAACAAATCACAGCTGCATGTTTCATGCTAAAGTTCGGAGTCTACGTAGATCGTGTGCACATGACTTCAGCTTTCTCATGAGCCTTGAGGGCAAACGATCAGCTTCCGTCTTAAGCGACACACATCTTAAGGCTTCAACAGATTTATAAAGTGGCTCATGGTTGCTCTTTGGCTGCAAGGCTTCAAAGGTTTAGATTTCGGGTTGGCTTCAGGTTCAGTTCGTACTGTTGTTGAAGAAAGCTGTGCTCTTGTCGGTACATTGTCTCGGTTCCTGAGCAGTACCCTTTTGCTTTGTTGTGGTATGGCCCCCTTATCAAAAGTGAGTAGCAGCGAAACGGGTACCCTCGTTGTTGAGGGGTCACTCAGGAACCTAGTTGTGCATCTACTGAACCCTAAACCCTAAACCTTAAGCCCTAACCCCTAAGCCCTAAACCCCAAACTCCTAAACCCCAAAACCCTAAACCCGAAGTTTCCGAAGAAGCCCTCCGAAGCCCAAATCTCAAACCCCAGGAGCCGCCCCCCAAACCCGACGCACGAATGCAGGGGTCTGAAGCTATGCCATAAAGGAAAGCCCAAAGCCCTAGGGCTTGGGGTTTAGGGTTTAGGGTTTAGGGTTTAGGGTTTAGGGCCCTAAACCCTAAGCCCTAAACCATAATATACCCTTTTCCGGTTATTTTTTCGGCTTCTACATGACACTCTACAAGACCTCCAGAAGCTCTACCACAGCTTGAGCCTCAAAGCTTGAAGCCGAAATGCTAAACCCCGGGGTTTTTGGGCTAAAAACGTCCTGTGCAATGCCATAGAACCTCCCAGCGGAATCAATCAAGGCCAGAAGCCCAAACTCTAAGGTTCAGCCCTTCACCACTTAACCGTTTAACCCTCAACCCTTTCGTCACATACAAGCCTGAGTCATTGGTAGTACTGTTCCTCAGCATTCCTTACTTTACCCACGCTATATTGCGCCCCAAAAAACCCCTAAACCCTAAAAACCCCCAAGCCTTACTCTCGTTATTCTTAAGCCCCCTTGCCCTCACCGCAAAGGATCCGAACGCGCAGCTTTCTGCAAAGATCGGCGACGCGGTTGCTGTTTAGGGTTCAGGGTTTATGGTCTAGGGTTTAGGGTTTAGGGTTTAGGGTAAGGGGGATACCTCGAAATATAGGAGGACCCCGAACCATGATGAAAGGTAGAGTCCTTAAGTAACGGATTTTGGCAGGTCTGGGGTTCCTAACCCTAAACCTAAAGCCTAAACCCTAAACCCTAAACCCTAAACCTAAACCCAAACCCTGANNTTTGGGGTTTAGGGTTTGGGCTCAAGAGCTGGAGGTGGTCTTCTTGTTGGGCTTAAGAAGCACAGTTGGGAAGCCAAGCATCGAGAGGTTTGGTTTGAAAAGGCTTGCCTTGTCGACGGGTAGACTTCGTAGGTGGTAGCGTGCTAGCTAGCTAGCTGGCTAGCTATA